CCCCGACTTTCCAAGTCTCTACGAACCCTGTGCGCCAAAGGGATTTTTGTTTCCTATAACTTAAAAACACTGAGTGGCAGTTGTGGTTTTGATTCATGCTTGGGCTCTCCATGGGCCCTAAAAGTAGAATCTTCCAGACCTTCTGGTTTGGCACACTGGGTTTTCCTTTCTTTAACCACTTGCCCACCAGTGGGGCCGAGTGAAAAAACCACTGAACATTGGTAATTGGCAGTGGGTTCATGCTTTCATGCTGCGTCAATGGAATCACCATGTAGTTTTTCAGGTTTACTTCTNGAAACCGCCGAATATAGACCGGAAGTGAGCGATAAATCCTTAAATCTTGATCCGAGGACGTCAAATTTAATACACGTATTCACGTTATAGATGCGAGTAACCATCCGTATCATATTCCAGTTAATCGATGCTGAGAATCTGGTAAATCGAGTCCAAATATTCACAATTTTCAAAAACCAATAACTTCGCGAAAAATTGTCCTAGGTTGAAAAACTTAACAGATTCTTAATCCACACGGAAAATACTATCCAGAAATATATATAACACTTAGAGCTTAAAGTAAAAATTTCAGCAACAACTCAATTCGAAAACAGAGCGAAATTTTCCTGCATCCGTTCGACTAAGCCGTTTAGCGCCCTCTCGATAGAACGATAATGTCAGAAAAAATGCTTTAATTCATTTTTGATTGTTAAGGAGGCGCCACACCCAGTGGCGTACCGTAGTGGGGGCGGCAAAATTTCACAATAAATAATAATAATATCTTGTAAAAATTTGAAACATCCTAATCTATACTTGCATCGCGCCTACGATAGTGCTATCGTCTGGACAGTCCGGGAATCGGCTCGCCGGGTGAACTAGTAACTTTTTCGTCGGAGCAGTTCCTGCGAAACCTGTCGATTTTTTTGGCTTGTACGATTCATTCGCGTTCATATGCACTACCACCGAATTTTTCATTGCTTGTTCTGTGACAAAACTGAATTTTGGTCTTTTAAATTGAAATACAGTAATACCCCGAACTTACGAGATAGGTGGGACCGACCGATGACCGCGTAAGTCGGGGTATAATTTCGCAATTTGTGTAAACTCCAAGTGGGATGTATTTAAGCTAATAAATGTTCTCGTTAATCCTATCTCGTCTTTTGATTCGCTCACGGTTACAAGAAATCAACACATAGAGTCTCTCGAGTCTCCGTAGATATAACAAACACAGAAATAAATAACACAAAATAAATTGTAGCTATGTGTCGATTCCGCGCGACACGTCCGAACATGTAAGCTGAACAATAGTGTGGGGAGAATGAATAATCAACAGTTGCGTGGCGCTCAAACAAAAGACGAATCGACGAGATTTGAAAATCGCGTAACTCCGGGTTCGCGTAAGTCGAGGTATTATTGTACCTAAATAAGGGGGGCGAAATTTTTCTCCGCCCCGGGTGGCTGACACCCACGGTACGCTACTGAACACGCCTTGTACCTATTACAAAGGATCTACTGAAATTAGTTGCCTCAGCACATAGAAATTAACAAAAACAATTGGAAAAATGAAAAAAAGTTAAAAGAACAAGAGAAACAGAAAAAAAAAGAGCAGAAGAGGAAACGCAGAAACATTTTGAAGAACATTAAAAGAAAGCTGAATTTTCTGCATTACTGCAACAGCAATCGGGAGAATCAAATAGTGAAAATATGAATATATCAAATATAAGTGTTAAATAATTAATTTCCCTTTATTTTTAGAATTATATTTCAGGGATCTTTTGTATATAGAATACTGTAAAATTAACATAAAAGTAATAAAACTTGTATCAACAATTATAATTTGATGTTGATATAAATTATGTAAAACAAAGTACTGTATTATAATCATAATAATGTTTTGATACTGAAAACTAATTAGCCAAACAAAAATTAATTTTTAGAGCTACAGTAGACAGCTCTATAACGCGGGTTCCTATAATGCGGATTCCTACAACGCGAAATTCTTATAAAGCGAAACGTATCTACCGCGTTATAGGGGGGTCTACTGTATATTACTTTTAAAATAATCTTCATTTATATATGACACATATTTTCAGGTACTCATACAGGATTTATGTCTAGTGAATCCATCAGAATTTTCTGATGATCCAACAACGAATGAACCACCCAATAATAATAATAATCGTCGCAGTAAATTTTAAAATTATTGATAAATATGCGCTAGAATATCACAAAGCTTGAATGCATTTTTTTAAAGAAGAGCATAGAGCTAAAATGAATTTTATGAAGGAAGAAGATTTAAGAAGAAAGAGAGAACATGACTGTAGAATTGAACTCCTGCAAGAAGAAAAAACAGAACAATCAATTAAAAATAGAATTACTGCAAGAAAAATCTAACTATTATATGGGATTTTTTTTTGACTTAGCGTGATAACATATTAACAATTAATAGGCTAATTTAATGATTAAACATTTAAATTAACATCTTAAAGGAAAAGAAACATGTTTGCCGAGATTAGTACACTAATCGCCCGAATTTGGTGGATTAGTTACTAATCCCAGATTACGTGTAATCTTAAAATGGTTGAACGCAAAATCAATAATCCTTGATTTAAATTAATTAAAATAGTCGTTAATCCTGCGACTTGTCTAATCGTCTGTTAGTGAAATAGGGGGTTAGACTGAAAAACAAGTTTCAAAATGTCTACTTTCAAAATTTTAGTAACTAGCTTTATAAGTAAGTCCCACAGTTTGCTGTACAGATGTATTAGAGGTTCTCTTTGAAAAAATGATGTAGGTTATATTTTGTGAAAATTTCTGCACTTGAAATGCCTTGTAGTACTTCTGCTTTCATGGAAGGAATCTTCAACAAACAAGATATACTTCTGTACAAAGCACTTGACATTATACTTTGTTTACTCGAAGGAATATACGTTAAGAAGTAGTAAGTTATGCCCTCCCACTGCTCAATTAACCTTGATGCTGCATCCGACGTGTCAGCCAACGTGTTGTTGAGTGTTTTATAGATCTATGCTTGGGCAACTTGAGTTTCTTTTTGCACAACTTCATAATTTTCCCACCGAGCAGACCATCCATCAAAACATCTAGCCACAATAAGTTCTGGCGCATATTCACCCAGTTCACTTAATGCTTTCAGATATGTGTTATGAATAATATGAATTGTGCACTGTCCAATGTCAGCAAGGCTTTTCTTGCGAATTCCCAGTACATCTTCCTTAAAAGTCGTAACACATTTTGGTTAACATTAGGACCGTCTGATCCTATCATGAAAAGTTTGTGCAGTGACAGGTTGGCATCATCGATAGCCTTGATAATGTATGTAATGTTTCTGAATCTGCCCGCTCAAGAAAACATGTATTTAGGTGTCTGCAGACAACTTTTTGCTCAGACTAAAACCTAATCATTATCTGTAACTCTTTCCTACTTTCCACATTGCTGGTTTCATCATAACTAATTGTAAAGAATGAAGAGTGGGCTTCTTCTAGCATTTTTTTGGAAATAGGGATCCAATGCTTGAGTTATTAAATAGCGCAATTTCTTCTCACTCATTGATATTCCCGCAGAAAGTTCAGTTTTTGGGAGCATTGATTGTAGTGTTGGAACCATATTATTAGAAGCAGCAAATGAGAAATTACTACATATTGTTTTCATGGCCCATACAAATTCTGCATGATATGCAGTATCTCTTGGATTATATAAACTCACAGTTGCTGATCCTTCTCCAGTCCCATTATCAGTATTGGAATTTCATCATTTTTTTTTTGATGGGCCCGGGAAACTATCACCTGGTCCAACCAATGTCAGGCATATCTGTCTTGGACCGTAAGCACAGGTAAATTTTTGTCTGTTTGGCACTACCTCCATGATCAAAAAGTGCTTGGAAACCTTTTTTCACTTGTATTATGCAATTACATACTTTGCAAAATACGTTAGTGTCTGAACGTACAGTTGCCCATAATCCTACTGTACCTGTACAACCTGCCTTATCATTTTGTTTCAACCAATCAATTCGGAATTTGCACTTTAGTGGTGTCAGTTTGTCGGTATTATTCCGCTAGAGATTTTTATTGGTCAATCACAATCGAAAGTGAATAAACACGTGTTAACCACGTGATCGGTTACTTCTCTGCACATGTTAAAATAGAGCAGAAGAATAAAAAAATACCAATAAAATAAAGCAATACTTAGAAAATTATTTTTTGCATATTTTACCAATTTTATTTGATCCTTTAACCCTTTATGGCCTGACGGGACTTTCTAGTCCCATCTTTGATATTTTTTATTTCATAGTGTATGCATTATAGCTTTCTGGGATTTACATTTTATCATTGTATAAAGCAGGGGTGTCCAACCTTTTTGTTCTTCTGGGCCACATTGGAAGAAGTCGTGGAGTTTTGGGCCACAAGTATAGGCCTATATGATATATTTGTGATTCAATCCTTAAATATACAAGTATATTTAAGGATTAACATGTCTAGATTATAGTAATAAGTATTAAAACTTTATCACGAACAAGGATATTTTAAAAAATTACTTCTACAGACCCTTTCAATTTTTACTTAGAAATAAATAAATTCATTTATTATAAAGNAACCACTGAACATTGGTAATTGGCAGTGGGTTCATGCTTTCATGCTGCGTCAATGGAATCACCATGTAGTTTTTCAGGTTTACTTCTTATGTTTAAAACACTTAAATATAAACCAGTTTCCCACAGAAAGACTTTTAGGAGACAATCCCTTGGCAGATTACCCATATTTTGCATTGTCTTATCCCATCAACCAAAACAATCTTTAAGCACTTTAAATTACATGACCTGATATTCTAGGTTGCTTAATTTTATTATAGATTCCAGCCTGGGTCTCTACATATTCAGATATTACAGCTGAAGCCTTAGCTTCCTTCCTCCCTCTCTCTTGTCAGCACTGCACATCAATGTTATGAGTTGACAACAGAAGATAATAGATGAAAGAAAAAATCCATTATTATAGAACAAAAGAAAAATTTATTGCCAAGATTTTAAGTTCTTTTCATTCTACAAAATATTACATATATATCTTGGATATTTAATTTAAAATAACCTACAATAATTTCTAATTCTTGCCAAATATTTCTACACTATTACTTAGTAGAGAGCAGAAATGTAAGCGCTTTCCCACAAATACAACTTATTAGCGTGAGCGTAGTATTCGTTACGAATTGGATCCATAAACGTGTCTTTTGATATAGTTTTGTAGAGGGGTTCACCATAATACGTTCCCACTTTCCACCCGGGAACATCTTTCATTAGTTCCGCTTCCTCTTCTCTGTTCTTACGTAACTGTTTAAGATACCTACGATATTAAGATGCGTAAGAATTAAATACTGTAAGCAACGATGAAATATCTTGCTTGATACTTAATGAAACAATAAATATAATTAATGATCTGGATATAACTTAAGATTATGCAATATTTTAATAACAAAAATATGAAATGTTGTCTTCGAAACCGTGAAAAAACACGGTTTCGAAGACAACATTTTCACGATGTATTCAAAAAAAAATATGAAATATTCCTCAAAAAGTTTTAAATTAAGTATGTAATCTGCATGTCTTATTAGATTATTAAATTCTATTAAAATAATTAACTATTAAAGTTAGTTAATATCATTTCTGTGTTACATTATTAAGCTGTAATAAAGTATGTTGTATAAGTTTGATCTTTCAGAAGAATTCAAATATAAAATGCAACTATTAAACAATTTAATATTATACAAATTATGATATGGAATTGAGAACTTTCACTAATTACATTACAATACTGATAGGAAACAACATTAAACACAATCCTAGTTGAGTGTCGACACCTCCTGCCAAAATACAAACTTCCACCAAAAATACTTAAGCATTTTTTCTATTAATAGTAAATGTTTTTAAAAGATTTAAATTGAGTTTTACAATAATGAATAACATTTTAGAATCATAAATAATAAACCAAAATTTTATTACATAGTTAACGCCAGGGTAATCACCTATCATACGGCATGTAAAATTCACGAGATGCCCAATTTATATGATGCTCACTGCAAGACTGAAAGCACAAATTCCCACCATCATTAAAGGTGCATGCATCCAAACTTTTGGTATAATAAATTTTGTCATTGCCACTGTAAATACAGCACATGAATCTGCGAATACAGAACTCATAAATATAAAGACCCAACAGTACGTGATGAAATATAAAACCAAAAACACATTTTTAAATTATAGCTTTCTTACATAAAGTTACAAAACTATTTGAGAGAATGCTTCTACTTAGTTAAAACTTTATTGCAATTTCTTTTGCTATTAATTAGATATTCAAGCATTTTTCTAAAAAAGATTTAAGCATTAAAATAATTTAAAAATAAATTCATTAACAATGAAACATGCTATTGAAAGATCTTTATGTATTGAAAATTATTCAATGAATTTAAAGTCTAGTTCAAAATCCAGTGAGAAAATGAATTCATAAACAACTAAATACAAAGGTAGTAGCATGTATTAATTATACACAGTTCTATAAGTCTGGAACAATAGGTGTTATCTTTGTTTATTCTTTTACATATAAAGCATGACACTGATTAAGGAGAAACGAATTCAAGTTATTTAATGGTACAAACTTTCCACAGCCAGATACGTTGATACTCAACCAAATGATTAGTTAAGGCAATCATTTGGTCGAGCATTTAATGGTGGGAACCCACAGTTGATGTGAAGTTGCCAAACAGTTTAACAGGCTGCATCAATCACAAAAAGCAGTCTGCGATGTAGCCTGTTAAATTGTTTGGCAATTTCGCACTGATTGTGGGTTTCCACCATCAAAATAACATTTGTTCGTCCTTACTCAGTGCCAAGTTTTATCTGTAAAAAAATAAACAAAGATGAACATAACTCCTACAGTTCCAAGCTTTGAGTTACCTTGTGTAACTTATAAAAACTGCAAGTTATTATATCAAGAAAGTTATTATATGAATAAGACTATAATTATAGAAAATTCTGATTTGAATATTTGAAATTCTGATTTGATAGAATCTGACATTAAGAAGACAAGTTAAAGCTTCTAAAATATGTATAATTTTTTTTACTATTATGTCATATTCTTAAGTTTGAAAATATCATTTATATTTTACTAATATCATTGAATATTATCTCTATAATATTAAAATATATTAGCAGATTCTAAAACTATAAATTGAAAACAGAATGAAATATTAAATTGTATTGTTCTCTACTTCACAATGTTGATAATTGTCAAATGAATTCATAACTTCATTCTCTCAAAAAATTGAATTATGTAATTATGTAAAAATCAGCAGAGCAATGATTCTCAACCACTGTGTCGCGAGATTTTTGAAGTGTGCCACCACTGCGAATATCCATACATAAGCGACGTCAGACAAGTAGTTTAATCGGTTCTACCTTCCTAGAGCATGTTTGAAATTGTAACTGGTGTTGCTGGTAATTACCAAGGTGTTTAGATAGTGTGACCTAAATAACAAACTGCATTTAAAAATCACTATTATGACATCACCAGTTGTCCTGCAGTACTTACCAAAGTAACCGCGTGTGCCGCAAAATTTTTAAATTATTAAAACTACGACGTAAAAAGTGTACTGTGACAAAAAAAAAAAAGGTTGAGAATCACTGCTTTAGAGAAATAAATGTTGAAAGAAAAGGAAGAATGGAAAAAATAGACTTCAATAAATAGTGAATGCAGTAAAACTTTCACTTAAAATTACAATTAGTTCACCTCTAATATCGATACTAAGTTGAAGTACCTCAAACAGTAAGAATTATATATAATAATGAGGTCTACAAGTTTTAAAATTGCACAATAACATCCATTCACGAGTATACAGTGGCATTTCAGAGAATGCTGCAGTTGTATCTACATATGACCTAACTAAATAAGATAAAAGAGTAAAACACAAAGGTTTCACTTACATTATATAGGAGGAAGAGACATTAAATATCAATATACTTTGACACATAGCATGCAAGATGAGGACCAAAAAAAATTTTAATAGAAAATGAAAAAGTAACTAATAATAATTACTTTCATAATTTAAAAAATAACATTTCTAGAAATCATTTCGTCAATAAAATCACACGAAAAAGATATTAAAGCAAATAATGGAGGAGGGAGGTAAAGAAATCAATGTTGTGCTTTTGCCTATTACTTTTGTCTTTATAAATTGGTAATTTATATAATGGATATTCAAAGTAGCAATAATTTATACATGGATTAAACTAAAGTAAATACATTAACTCCAAGAATGATAAATGTTTCAAATAAGAGTCAGCAATCTTAAAAAAATCATTTTGGCTTCATGCCAGGATGATCATCAACAAGAGAACATTCTTAATAAGGCAACTTATCAAAGAGTTAAAAAAAATAACAGAAATGTCTGTGCATGATGTTTATTGATTTGGAATACAAACAGAAGTTCCAAAGAAAAGTGTCTGATAGATATTAGAAGAAGAGTCATGAAAAAAAATAACTAAAAAGATGAGACAGAAGAAAAGAAATAAATAGGATAGTAGCATATAATCACATAAAATATTCACAATATAAAATTGAAATAAAACAACAAGAATGCAAGATATTCATTATATGATATATAATAGGATTAAAAAGAAATATCTCAAATATATTCAATATAATATTTAAAGAATGGCAAACTTTGACTTGATACCAGAAATATCACTAATTTTCTGAAACATTTGAACATTATTAACTGGTTTCAATAAGATTTATGAATTATATTTTCTAAATTATTTAATTCAATTAGTTTTTACTTTGACAAAGATAAAATTAAAAAAAAAAAAGAAAAGAAAACAAATGGTAAGTTGGCTTCTTCAGTTTTGTACTCAGAATATAAAGCTAAAGAAGTAATTTACTATTGGCAAAAGTTCTTTTTATTTAATGTTTTTGACAAATTTTTGTTATATGTTTCTTACTGTATTTACTTGCACAGAGGACAAGATGTAACTTTAAAGATCAAAATAAAAAAAATTAGATTTATTAATACAATTCTAGTTTTATTTTGTTTAATCACAAATAAAATATTATCAAATGCATGTATTAAGGCAAACAACCACGTTTTCTTGATGCTATCATCTTTTGTCTACTCAGGCATGACCTCCGAATCTTTGTTACAACCCTCTTCTTTTTCACCCTCTCATTCCACAAAGCATCGTCCTCTAATCCGTCGAGTGAATTTGAAATTCAGTATTTCCAGAATGACTTTGCTATCAGCTCTTGAGGAATCTTATAGCCATGTAGCAAAACCAACAGATTATAATGCGCAAGACCGGAAAAAGTCTATTTTTAATGATTCAGAATGTGCAAATATTCATTAAAAATACCAATTTAACAAATACGAAATAACTACATTTATAATCGTTGCTAAGTGACCGGCTATTTTCGGACCATCTGTTTGAAAAGCGACATTCACCTTGACCTCGTTAGCACTCTGCTATAATAGCAGCATGAACTATACACAGTTCACAAAATTATTGCAAAAACGCAAAGAATCCTTGCTCGCGCGTATAAGACGACCTAGATTTTTGATGCAATGAAAAATGAATAAAAACCTCGTCTTATACGCGAGTAAATATGGTATTTAAACTACTATGCATATGTAGCTAGAACTATTTCTAAGACTAACAGCACAAAACCTTTCTCACTATTAAGAAGGCTGAAAACGTTTGTACTCCAATTAATAAGGCTAGAAATTAGTGAGAAAGGTTTTGTGCTGTTAGTCTATGGTATTTAAATTTTATTATTCAAATTTTAATTTCAGTTTATTTTATAATAATATAACAAATCAATTGACACATTTCATATTCCTTTACACTTTCAGATTTTTATTCTTACAAATTAAGATATAGAATGTTTAGGATACGTAAAATACTACAGTATAATCAATAAAATTCTATATAATAGCCCTCTTATCCACAGTTTCAGTTACCCATAGTCGACTGCAATTTGAAAATATTAAAAAGGAAAATTCCAGAATCAAACAATTCAAAAGTTTTAAATTACGTGCCATTCTGAACAGTATGATAAAATCTCGCATCATCCCACTCTGTTCTACTTGGGACAAGAATCATCCCTCTGTCAAGTACATTCGTGATGTATCAACACCTGCAGTGCTTGTTGTCATGTAACCCTTATTTTAATAATGGTCCCAAGAAGAATATTAGTGATGCTGGCAATTTTTGAATTTGCTAAACAGAAGCCATTAACAGACCTCAGAACAGATAATGACTTCAAAATAAGTCATTCTGGCTATTGGTGCTGTTTGCCACAGTGGCATAATTTACAACTAATGCTAGCACAGGATCTAGATGTTTGTATGTATTTCTCACATGTTTGCACAAGAAATTAGTTTCTTGCTTCTGAATAAATGGTGTCGCAATTGAGAATTCTGGTCTGAAAAGTTTGTTTTCGCTTGTTTTTCCCTCATCTCACATTTACATAAATGCAGCCTTATAGTGAAGATTTGAATAGATGCCAGTCTCTGGTCAGTCAGTTGACCAAAATTAGCAAAAGGGGTTGTTAATTATCCTTTGTTATATCTGTATATTTTGATCTGTTCTTTACTTGGTTTCTTTAGTTTTGGAAGGACACAACCATAGGCTAATAAGTGCAAGTTCAGTAATTAAATGTGGGAGATGTCTATTAGAAGTTATATGGCATATCTCTCTAAAAAAATTGAGAGAAAAATAGCCCGTATATTTACCATTGTTTCTAATGAGTTATCTTAAATTTTGAAAATTAAAATTTTTAATTGGTTAAAATCATAATTAGAAAAAAGTTTTCAGAGTTGCAAAATTATTAAAACTTAAAAAAAAAAAAACATTTCATTAAATAAAAAAAATCCAGAAACAGTGACAACAATGTAATAGAACAAATTTAAAATTAGTTTGTGGCACCATCTATTATGAAATTTTGTTTAAGAAACAACTATTATATTATTAATAATTACAAAACTGCAAATAGTTTAATTTTGAGGGTAGAGAAGAGTTTTATATAAAATTATAAACGCTAATAACAAGTAAAATCTTCGTGAAGTCCAACTCCACTCGAGTTATAATACATGCACCCTTTCTATCTCTACCTCTCTTAATCTTTACCCTATCCTGAGATATTAAACAAAATAGATGCCAACATATGCAAATTTTCTTTTTTTGTCATTTTTGGATTCAGGAGGTCTCAAAAAACAAAGATTTACAAAAAACTCAGAGGATCAAATTTGATACAATTCTGATATTTTACCACGTTATATATATAACAAGCTGGGAAAGTAAAACACTGTGTTTATTTATTATTCATCAATAAATCCTGCAATCTTTTACAAAGCTATAAATTTATTAAATTGTTCCTTAATAAACTTTTCAATTTTTTTAAAATATTAACAAACAAATCAGCAATTTTGTTACACTATCAAAATTATTAAAACAAAAACTGAAAATTATAAATAAACATAATTTAAAAGAACACTATTTATGATTTTTTGCCACTTTTAGACTGATTTATTAACACCTGCTCTCAATTTGAAGGTGTGAAGGTTAATTGTGAGGGGCTTGAAAGGAATTAAAATATTGTATTTAGAAAAAGAAATTGTTGACATTAGACTATGCCCTCTCGAATTTATGATATTGCTTAACTAACATTTCTAAAATCTCAAAAGTCATGTAATAACATGAAGTCTTCAACGTGCAACAAGAGAAAGATGTTATAGGCATCACAACTTAACTATTTAAACATTAATTAATAAAATAACATGTGACAACTTGGAGTCACAAAAATGTCATTGCCAGTAACGGCAGAAAAAGTGAGAAATAGTGAAAATAATGATCTGTTCCGAGGCTTGCATCAAGCATTTCAAGTGAAAAATTGAAAGTTCTTGACTGAATGAGAAAAGAAAAAAATCTGTATGCTAAAGCCATATTCACAACTTTTATTACAGTGTATTTTTATAATTGTTCTCCTTTATTATTAGTTACTATTGTTTCTCTGTTACTGTGCTTAATTTAGAAATTAAACTTTATTGTAGGTATGCACATATAGGAAAAGACAGTATATAGTATGTAGGGTTTGGCACTATCTGCAGTTTAATTAAGCATCCTAGGGGTCTTGTAATGTCTTCTACAGATAAAGGGACTACTCTATTCTGTTTTGGAAAGCATGAAAATAGAACAAAATGATGCAAAGATATTTGCCAAATTTTAAAAAAATTCCATTCTGAATTAAGTTTTAGTTTGTTGTTATGTATAAATTGGATAAGAAATTTTTCTGTTAAGTAAAAATAGTATTTAAATAAAAGGTGATCAAATAAAAGCATATGATAACTAGTGCAAATAGTTTTACAGTTTTGCAATGGTGCAGAACCAGCAGTGCACCAAGCACAGCAGACGCTGTCAAAGCCTGGCTCATACCATCACAATACATCTGAAAAGTTCCACATTTGTTTATTATCCAGCATTTTATTAATTTTGCACTTGCCATTAACATATATGATTTATAGTAGTTGAGTATTCAATACACCTCAAAGTATTAATGATTAATTTTAAAGCACCCAGAATGTGTATATGTGCATGCATGTATATGTTTTACAATGTCAGTTAATAATTTAAAAACTGAAAAAAATATAAACATACATTCGGTCTCTTTCGGCTAAGAGTAAAGGTTCCAATGCTACCTTCACGTCACAATTTTCGACTTTTAGTCGCCTGCAATAAATAATTTATCTATTAATAAAGAACTATTGATAAAACAATTAATGACTAAAATTTTGATACATACCTTTGCCTTTTCAAATCCAACCAAACAAAATATGATGAAAATGCTGTTATTCCAAGATATCCAGCAAACATAGTATAACCTTAAAATTAGTAAATAAATTTTAAGTTATTACACATTATAAACTATGCAATATATCAAATTTAATTTTGTATTTTATCTATTTAATTTAATAAAATGAGAGTTCACAATACATACAAGTTAACTCAAAAGTCCATTAACCTAGCTATACACAGTATATATATTTTAAGGCTTGTTTTAAGAACAATTAAAAACTAGATTGGAACTGCATATTATTTATGATTCAGCCACCTCCAACTTGGTTGACTGACTTTTGAGCCAATCTATACAGTGGGTGATCAGTTAATGAACAGATCAAATAACGAACACTTTCGCGAAAGATTTTTATGTTCGGACAACAAACACATGATCGGATAATGAACACCCTACAGAACAAACACAAGAAGCGATGTAAAATAATGAATACCGATTGGTCTTTCCTTGTCTTTGGGCAACAATTCGAAAGTTTTCGGAGTGTGGGAAATGTCGACAGTACATACCAATCGGAGTACATACCGCTCAAGCCAGTACATACCGATCGGATAGTATTCCTCCGAACTTTGAAACTCTCCCTTGTAATTCCGGCCTTTTATTTTTCTGACAATACAATTCTTTTATGTATTTGCGAGGCAGTCGGGTAGGCACTCGTTAAGTTTTGCGTCTGTTTTTCTTTTCGAAAGGTGAGAGTAATAGCAAAGGTAGAGAGTGGGCAGAAAATGCCTAATGTTGCTGAGCAGTATGGCATGAACAGGTCTACAGTAGGCCGCAGTTTAATCTTATTTAAGAAAAAATACTGTATAATCAAAAAGACTCAAGCAGCTAAAAAATTAACAAAAATCACATCTGAGAAATAAACAGAATTCATAATTTGAAGAGTTCATAATGGAACCTGAAATGGATCTGACGACAGAACGCCAAGAACTCTTGAATGAAGAACACCACGAAACTCGGTGAGATATGCTTTCTTCTGAAAAACAGGATTAATGCCGATATCGGTTATTAAAGATCCTTTGAAGAAGTAGGAGGATGTCAGAACAACGGTCTTAGAATGGCATCCAAACCAGGTTGAGGCTTGGGGATTTCTACAATTGCAATGCTATTAATTACTTACGAAAAATCCTGAAGAAGAGAGAAAAGCAATCGACATTAGACAGATTCTTTTAATCCTTTCAAACGGAAAAAACATGACTAATAAAAATGCAAGACTGTCTGTATGTATTTTTTTTATTACATATAAATAAATGTAGTAAGAAAGTATATATTTTTTATTTTTGGGAGTCTCCAGAACAAATTAATTAAATTTCCATTCAAACCTATGGTAAATCAATAATTGGTTAATGAACAAAAGTCTTGGAACGGATTATGTTCGTTAACCGATCATCCACTGTATCTTATATTTACTAAATAAATAATAATGAATTTTTAAATGAAAACATATTTCTTCTACTTTTACATCATTTTCAGGCTAGACTTAAGCTGCTTATAAACCAATTTATATAGCTCAATTGATTAAAATTCAGCTTAATTCGAGCCACAAATAATGCTGCTTTTAAATATATTTGGCTTATGATTTACTGTATGTATGTCTGGTTACATATTCAAATATAAAGAAAACAATGCAAAATAATTTGGAATTTTCTCAATACTATTCTCATACCATACAAACATAATTAAATAAATGTGGAATCTACCTTTCTTAATAGGCTCTTCTCTATCTAAATGAATTAATCAATGCACCTTTAATAACGGGTGAAGTTGAAGGAATGCTGTAAGCATTCGTCAATGTCATCCACCATTAAAAGGGTTGTGATTAATTCCTAGTCTCTATACAAAAAGATGTAAAAGATTTTAAAAAACTTTCTCAAAAGTTAGTATATTACATAAATTATATAAAAATAAAAATCAAGGACAATAATTTAGATAAATGGTACATGAGAAGATTCCAAATCTTTCATTTGTTTTGAAAATTATGTATATTGTTAACTAAATTATGCTAGATGTTTACAGATAAATGAATTTAGAGGCAAGACGGCAGAGTGGTAAAAGGTGATAACCTACCACTATGGGAGAACCAAAATCAAATGAGTCAAAAAAACCTCAGGAATTTTTTGGGAATGAACTGTCCAGATATGTTAAGCCCCTCCCTCACCACCCAGCCATCCCATTGTGGGCCTGGCTGAACCCATAATGAGTTGGCTAAAAAGGCCCTCTTAGTGCCTACAGGGTGGAAAGCATTAATTTAAAAAATTCTAAAAATATTAGATTAGCATTTCCAAAATGTCTTAAAACTTACAGACTAATTTGTGAGGAAACATTAATACAATGTAAATGTTAAATTTAAATTTTGTTTCTAGAAATATACTGTTCTAAAATTAGTACTGTATAGAAAAATCTGTGGGCGAGGCATAAAAGATTTTGTAAACATTAATATATGTTAATATGTTTTTCTCTCCATGACCTTAACATGTACATTTTTATTTTCTTGGGGATTAAAAAAATAAAATCTCTCTTAACACAAGTCCTTTTGAGCTTCTCTAGTTCATCATCAGGGATACAAAAATTTTTGTGACAAGCATAAGGACTCATCTGCATTGAATACATATCGAGTTTCTGTCACAATGACTTTGCACACTTGAAGCCTGAAAGTACTCAGTTTAGGAAAGAGATTTTGTTTTTTGTCTCCAAGACTTAGCACAAAAGCTATTATTAAGGCTCAAGGTGGCTCTTTACAGTTTTGTAATAGAATTCCATTTGACGAGAAATGACCGCATTATTTTCTCGGCCTACTTTTTATCTTGTTTCGATAACTGTAAACAGCAAGTTCTTACAACAGCAATATTGGTAAAGCTGTGGTGCAAATGACACTTCGATTCAATGTAGCATTAGAATGTTTTTAATAAATTGCAATTTTTGTTTTCTTTGGTTTATTCTTCTCAGTTTCTTCTTTGTACTACAAATTATTATTAAAAATTGCAATCTTAGCTTAATATACTAATTTACACATCATTTGAATGCTTTTTGGTACATATCAAAGGTGATGTAATTTCTGTGACTGCTGCTGTACTAAAAATAAGATTTATTTTATCACCACACTTTTACTTCTCAATTATTACGATATTGTGGACACAGTTAAAACTTAATTTAAAACTTCTATCATTGTTTGAGTTACATTCCTGCTTTAGTTTCAATTACTATACATGTGAAACTTTAGTACTAAAACTCTATTTGAGTGACTACATTTGCACCACAATATTAAGGGGTATGGCAAACTCCACTATGGGGCTTACCCACATCTCCTAACAGAGTTGCACAGTCAAGTGGCCACTCAAAGCTAGCATATTTGCACGAGACAAATGGCTAAACGTGATTTTTAGAGAAGCAATGTGACTCCCAATCACATGACCCAAAGTAAGCCAATTTTGGAGCCGTATCTTGCCAAGGATCATGCATAGAAGTACAATTCCTTTAACCATTTCATTCCTATGGGAATACTGTGATAAGGGGTTCAAATCAAGAACAAATATAGCATATTGAGACTGGAAGCGAGCTGTAGAAGCTTGAGCACTGCTTTATTGATCAAAATAGCACTCAAGACTGAAATAATTTTAAAAAATTGATAGAAATGACTATAAATTTCAATGAAATGGAAAATCTAGGATGTTAGGTAACTCATAGAATAATCAAATATATATATATATATTTTAATATACAAAACTAATATGAAGTTTTACATATAAAGTATATTTGGATATAAACATGTGGTAATGCATTTAATAAAAATTTACGTTTAAATGTAAACATTACGGTTGTCTTACCACTAAAGTACTTTTTGGGTGGTATTCTATGGAAAATAATGCGTTTATAACCCCCTTCTGGGGGTAAATCTTGTTTAATTGTACCCTCCATTTCTCACGACCTCCACATTACACTTCTCGAAATCAACGCTAGATGGCGACGAAACAAAAATACTAACGGAAGACAATCTTCGGGATATGAAAAATAGCCCAAAAATAAAAATCGGAAAGTTTTAATTTTCATTATAAATTTAATTGTTTTGTATTAAAAATTATAATTTTAAAAATAAGTTGTAATATTTTATTTTCATTTTTGTTTTAGGTTATTTTTTTTTTTTAAATATAATGCCAAATTATATATTTTTTATTTGAGAAATTAGAGAAATTTAACAACATTATTAAAATTTAAATAAAGTTTAAGTTGTTATTATCTTTAACGAATTTCGCTATGTTTAAATTATATAATTTTTTAACATTGGATAAGTAAGGTCCTCTTTATTCCGGACATGTCCTCTTATCGAATGCAACATTTTGTTTGGGCGTACATTTATAGATATATAAAGTGATAAAAATAGAAAGTAAGAATGGAAGCAAATAAGAGTCTCGAGGAAGTAAAAGAAAGAAAGTATACTTTATATATAAAAACAAATAAAAATATATTATTAAGCTTCATAATTTAAACGAGCGATTATTTATGCTGGGATGCAATTTTTAATCATATTTTTAATTTATTTTATTTAAAATATATGCTCTCCGTATCAAATTAGTAGTGGCTTACCCCTGTACATCATACTTTTCCTTTAACAATAGAGTCGTACCAATTACCTATTAACTACTTTAAGTTTTGAATTAAAATAACATGACATCCGGTTTGCACGAGAAGTTCATCCATTATTAATCGGGGCTTCCTACCCCTAAGGTTTCCATATAAGGTTGTCATCTAACTAACTCCGTTCTCGATATTAAGGAATGTCAGGCGGACAGAGAGAACAGTGGGAATTATAGGTCTACAATTTTTTTTTCAAATTGTAGCCCAATTAAAAAATTATTTAACAATGAAGAAATGATTAAATCTCAAGAGCCTACTATATATTTTTTCCATTTCTCGACCATTAATTGAATGACAGCATTAAAAAAATTATGAAATAAACTTTTATTTTCTTGTACTTGAACATATGTACAGTAAATTAATTCAGATTTCATTGGAATGTACAGTAAAATTCATAGACTTAGCAGCAAATAAATAAATAATTACAATAAGAATATTTGGCATTGTAGGTGACTTATCAAAGAAAAGAAAAAAAAAAAACAACTTTGTTTTCTGTCCAGTCTATAAATTCCAAAAATACCTTTTGTATCTTAGTGAGATGTGAACATTTCATTGATTTATTTCCTCATATTTTATATCATCGCATCTGATATTCACAGAGAAAATGCAGAAATGCAACTTAATTGAAAATATTTTTTTTACAGTTTATTAACAACGTTAGCACATATATATATATATATATATATAATATTTTAAGTTTTTAAAATATAAAATGCGGGATATATTTTAATTTTATTCACATGAAAAATATTCGAAATTGTCATTTCTTTAATTACATTTTGATTTTCTTGTTTGTATTTTTACAGTGTCGAGAAAAAACTTGAAGCACTTTACAAACCCAAGAACTTGCTAATCCTTGGGGATTTATCGTTGCTATAAAACAAATTCACTCGAAGGTAGACTGAAAACGAAGGACATCTCTTTCGAAAAAAATAGTAAACATTAAATATATAAGAAATATATATTATCAATCCTAAAAAAAAACACTTTACACGGAAGGATTTATTTACAGAAACAATCGGAATTAAAAAGTACACGACTCTGTACAACTTAAAATTTACTTTTTGTTGTTTCTCTGATGACTTTTCAAAAAAAACAATGGGTTTTTTTTAAACAGAAAATCTATCTTATATTGGAAAATTTATTCCGAAAGAACGTAACAGTAACGTTAATTTGGAATGACTTTTTGGACTGAATTACAACGAAAACCATCGGAGAAACAACGATTCAAACCATGTACAGACGTGTACTTTTTTTTTAATGAAAAGTTTAAAAAATAATCCACAATTACAGAATTGTTTGCAAAAAATATTATAAATATAAATATAGTTTTTGCATATAGTTTTGTTTTGCTCTTCTTTCCCATTGATTATCATTATGAGAAAGATAAATTACTTTAATGTTGTCTCTATCTACTTTCCACACAAGGTAAACCAAAAATAATGGGGTTTTATGGAAATTTATAATTTTTTTTCTTATGTATAGGTTAACCAGGTGAAATTCTATATATGGACGGTCCTTTCAATCACAAGACTATGGAAGCTTGTCATTGCATGAAACTATGAGTATCCTATCTGTTTGCTACATATACTTAACTATTTTAAATTATACTTTACACGTCTTATTTTCACGATGTAGGGACCGTTGAAGTGAATCCTTAAAATGTGTAGAGATTCTTTGAACTATGTTTAAAAGATGTGTATGCGTTTCGTTTGTACAGAGTACAAATGGGCTTTTCTTTTTTTGATACTTTTGCATCAGTAAAAGAGCGTTGTTAATTGGCCCTTTCAAAACGTCTAATTTAAACTTGTCCAATTACATCGCACGAATTTATATCAGGAGCCAATCGTACGTTAAAACATTTCCTTATTTATTTATTATAAATTTATATAATTTTCGATAATATAAATAATTTAAATTAAAAATATAAAAGCAAACTTTTTCTTGCAGAAAAATAGGAAATGTTAAGTCAACAAAAGTGACTTTACCCCTTTATTCTTCCTTAAATCTTGCCCCTTGTTTTTTACACATCAAGGCCACGTGTAATTAGGAATTAATTATTAAATAAAATTTCGTTGTTATTTATATATATATATGTATACGTTTATTTTTATATATTGAAATTAATATTTGTGTGTCCTGTTTAAAAATAATTTAATTTTCACTAGATTGCGTTCTACTGCCGACAAACGGATAGTAAGAGGCTCTTCTTCTTCTCATAGGAAACTGTCCAAGTTGCCAATTTGGCCTAGGATAAAGTGATACGGAGACGTCATCGGGATTTAAGTGCCTCTGATGTGCCGAACAGAAACGAGGTGCTGGAGTCTGAGTATTTGTCGCTTGTGTAGTTGTCGCCGGCGGTGTAGTAGTAGTAGTTGTCGTTGTTACTGGGTTTCCTAATTGGTTAGATATAACCCCGGGCAAAGCACTCAACTGCTCTTGAATGCAACTTAATCTATCTTCTAAACAAGTTATTCGATCTGTCATAGCTTCTTGTCTCTGGTTCATGTCTATTATAAGTTCGTACATTGTAGTCTGCATCTGAAAAAAAAGTAAAAGAAAATATCTCATTTATTATCTGACAGATAGAATATCCACAAAATCAATTAAACTATAAATCAAAAACAACAACAATATATCTTGTATTTACGTTAAGAAGATTAAGTGATAAAAGATGCAAGCTGCCTACTTCTAGAACTTTAGAAAGTAAATTGCGTGGTAGGAAATAAATCATTCTTTTAAAATATATTACAAAAAAACGATAATTAATTAACTTTAAAAAGCCTAAAATTAAAACCTCAAACATACTTTTGCCATATCGGTGATGGTATTTGCATTTTCCATTAATTTTCTTTGATCCATTTTAACTTTTCTTAAACTGGAAAAAGTTAATTATATTTTAAAATTAATTAAATATACTTTTAAAATATTATATTTTATATAAACTATATAAAGGCTGATGCATTCGGACGATACAATTAAGACGACAATTAGCGTCAACGTCCCATTCCACCAATCATCTCTTTCGACCTTGACAATCGACACAGACGATTGGTCGAACCTGTCGGCAACATTTCAATTTGTCTTTAAAGCTCGGTTCACACTACGCAAGTTTCGTGCAATTTTTGTCGTTCGCCTCTGAACGACACACAAATCGCACGATAAGCAATAAAGTCGAACCAGTCAGAGTTTATCAATTGTAAATTGATCCAATGAACATTATGATCGTAAATCACGAGCCATTCATTTAGTATCATTCTCCATTTTTCTGTTTATGGCCAGGAGAACGTGCAAAAAATTAATCGAGAGATTGAGTTATATTGATAGTTATCGACTTATTAAATTGGTAGTCGTCCAAAGTTTTTTCGAGTTATAAGTTTGATGAATGAAAACTCGAATGAAAACTGATTCAATGATAAAAATTTATTTATTTCTTTATTCAACTGAAATTACTGTATATTTTTAGCGTGAAATATGTGTTTTATAAGTTTTCTAAACGTAAGCGGTAATTTGTTTTTCTAGTTAGTCGTGTGTTAAAATCATAATCTGAACATGTAATCAGCGGCATGAAGCGGTATTAACGACGTCAAAGCAATTACCCGAAGTGTGTGTGAACTAGGCTCCTCCATTAAATTAAAAAGCTAGAACTGTGGGTCAATTCACCCACTATTGAGCAACCGACCCAGATTCGAACCCGTGTTCCGTAGGGTAGCATTTATATCGATCAATGATATTAAACGTTATAAGAATAGTCTCATAAATCAGTTTTATTAATTAATTACAAATCAAACCCGTAGTCTACATGTCGTCTATATCCAATTACAGTGGTGCCTCGTATAACATATACCTCGAATAACGGACGCTGCGAACAAAGGACTTTCTGCGAACAAGTGCGAATGATGTTTCCACTCTTTTGCCTCTGCCAATGACAATCTGCTATTTTTATAATATATTAGTATTATTAGGATATATTATTAGTATATCTGAAGTACAGAGCTCCCGTTGGGATTCGGCTTGCTCCCTTGTTTATTACGTAGAGGAGAGGAGAGTATTATGGAATACCATTTACATTTTTAAAAATAACTTTACTGGTTTTTGAATAAAAATCTCAAAATCATCATGAGTAAATACTATAACTAATTGTAATGAATTGCCACTTGTAAAAAATAATATTATTTACTTTTTTGTTATAAAAAATATATTTAAAAAACTCACAAATGGAGGGTAATATGGAATAGATGGTTTAATTAAACCATTGAAAAACTAATTAGACTTCATAAAACATAGTTATTCTTAACTATAAAAACCATATTTTTAAGATTATGTGCATGTCATTTCTGCTTCGAGTCTATTTACAAAAGTCACAGTTATAATTTTCTCTCTCTGCTCCGGTAAAATCAAGGTGAGCCCACAGAGAACAGATGAAGCATTGAACCCAAATTTTCCCTCGTTCATCTTCCCAGAATTTTCCGTTACAGAAGATACATTCAGCGTCTTCGTTTTCTGGTTCTTTAGTTGATGGCACGAAGTCCATTACAAACGATACATCAGAATGAAACGATTCACCGCTGCTAACACTGGAGTCATCTCTACTAGGTTTAGGTCTAGAAGGTCGGTCTAAGTTTAATTTCTTAACAGGTGCTCTTTGAATGTTCGGTTTCTTTTGTTGTTTTGAAGCTTTTGGTTCCTTCTTTTTGTCCTTTTCTTTCAGTTTATCCATTTATCTTAGTATTCCATAATACCCGACACGCCATCTTGGAAAATGAACCTTTAAACTGATGGACAAAACATTGTCGGCTAAAAACGACTACAGTAAACAAACTACAATTCTTTTAGTGTACATTATGCTTAACATCAATGTTCGAGTCACATATGTACTAGTAGGTTAAAATGTTTGAAAACTTGCCTGCAAAAACTCTTGAAAATCATAAAACACACTTTGTTCTGTAGCGAGTGGTACGACGACAACAAGCGGTCAACTCTCATTGCACTGCATCGTGGGAGTCTTTCTCGAGTAGTTCATGGTATTCTTACGTAATAGCAACAAGAAACAGAGCCGAAACCTCGGTATTCCATATTACCCGACTATTCCATAATACTCTCCTCTCCTCTACATCACCTCAGTACAGGGTATTTACATTTATTCAATTGTTGTGCAAATCATGGCTTCCAAAAAAACATAACGGCGATTTCAATTGAAACAGTGCAAGAAATCATCAGAAGGAGTGAAAGGTGACAAAAACTTCCTTGTCAAATGGGGAAAAGTTTAGGAGTTTACCTACACTCATTATCCAAACAGAGCTGAGAACAACAGGATCAATGACACCCTTGCCCGTCATTTCCGACAGGTGTTGAAGAAGAGAGAGAAACAGACCACCTTGGACATGTTTTTCAAGAAGCCAGCTGCCAAATAACAAAGGATGAAACAAGAGGAGTTGACCCTGCAAGCTCCGGTAGCCTCTCCTGAATCTGACTCTGACTAAAAAACAATAAAAAGACATAGGAAACTGTCCAAGTTGCCAATTTGGCCTAGGATAAAGTGATACGGAGACGTCATCGGGATTTAAGTGCCTCTGATGTGCCGAACAGAAACGAGNACAATGCAAGAAATCATCAGAAGGAGTGAAAGGTGACAAAAACTTCCTTGTCAAATGGGGAGAAGTTTAGGAGTTTACCTACACTCATTATCCAAACAGAGCTGAGAACAACAGGATCAATGACACCCTTGCCCGTCATTTCCGACAGGTGTTGAAGAAGAGAGAGAAACAGACCACCTTGGACATGTTTTTCAAGAAGCCAGCTGCCAAATAACAAAGGATGAAACAAGAGGAGTTGACCCTGCAAGCTCCGGTAGCCTCTCCTGAATCTGACTCTGACTAAAAAACAATAAAAAGAGACCCGCTGCAATGTGTAAAAAGTCTGTATCTGTACGAACGTGTGAAGAAAGTGTTCCTCCACCTCCTCCTCACAACATCTAACTACCAAGCATAATTGGCGACTGCTCCATTTTCATTTTTTTATGGTACAGTACGGTTATTTTATGCCGCGGAACGAATTATATGTTTTAACATGTATTTCTATGGGAGAATGCGTTTCGTATAACGGACTTTTCACTTAACGGACGTGCACCTGGAACGGATTAAGTACGTTATACGAGGCACCACTGTATCCGTAAAATAAATCATACTCGTGCAGACAGGACTCGAATCCGGATCCCTCAAAATAGTGTGCGAAGATGGCTTAATAAAACTTAGACAATTATTAACTTAATTTAGTGTTAAAATATATAAAATCGCTACTAGAAAAAAGAAAGTTATTATTAACTACTACATAAGTTTACAACATTTATTATCCTTAGCGAATTTAGAAAAATGATACCCCCGACTTAATAAGCTTTAAAATAATAAAATAATGAAGAATTTATTTTTAAAAATTTCAATTAAATTCCTAGACACATCTACAATTACTTAATTATTTTAAAAAAGTTCTCGTTAATGAAGGTAATTATGTTAATTTACAGAAAGATGATGAAGTATCCTAACTTACCTGTAAATTGCCAAAAGAAATTTTCTCTGATGAGCTCTTAATTTCCCTGGATTTGGTCTCTTAACTAGTTTAGTATATTTATATATAAACCAAGTTTCTCTCAATACATTTGCTGCCGAATTTTTTAACTATAAAACAGGGGAAAAAAGAGTTTAAATTCCGATTTATCGTCTCCGATAAACACTTTATTTATTACATTAAATGTCATCCTTTCAAAGTAATAAATCTAGAAATGAGATAAGAAGAGAAATAGGATATAAAAATAGAATTTTTACCCGTTTAGTAAGCTGAGTATCCATCATGAAATTATGAACATGTTTTTCTGCTCGAGTTAGTTCTAATTTCCGTGCTATTACCGCGACGACCAAAGCGGTACAACCGGCTCCCTTAAATAATACAAAACAAATAAGAAAATTTTTTTAAAAAATGTAAAACAAATTGCATTTTATTCGTGAATAAAATATTACTGATTAAATTTGTCATTATTTTACTCTTTTCCTAAATCGCATTATCCTACTTTTCAGCGAAATACAATTTGCTCTCGGTAATTCTATTTTCATTCTGTTTTTGTAAACTTAAAAGTTTTAAAAATTATATATATTAAATTAATAACTTTTAGAAGCTTTAATGGATTAATATTTATTAAAATTTTTTATTGTTATTACTATTATTTAAAGTATTTTTTATATTGTTTTTATTTAAATTTAATTGGCAGATGGCGTGATTTCGTTGTCTATCGCCATCAGACGATTTTAATAATTTAAATATTCTAAATATATT